AATGGCAATTATGGTAACAGTCATATCAACACAAGAACAGATTTGAGCACTGATCTAAGACTTGGCCTCAGCATCTCCCCCTCTCATCACAGTGACTTGTCTTCCACTTCAACCCCTGGGTATGCTAATATCACATTCATTGAACCAACCAATGTACAAATTATTTTATTATATTTTTTTAAGAACAAGAAGAAGGGAAAAGTTTTCTTGGGTTTTTCCCAAAATTTGTTCTTGATCAACTTTTGTGGTTGTAACTTGGTATGTATGTTTTGACTCAAAGTTGACATTTCAGGGAGGAAGCACTGATAAACTGGCCACCAATCAAATCTATCTTGAGGAGCAGACTTGCAGGAAAAGCAGACCATCCCTCCTTATTTGTGAAGGTCTACATGGAAGGCATTCCAATTGGTAGAAAACTGAATCTGTTTGCACATGATGGCTATGCTGCTTTGATTACAACTCTTAGCCTCATGTTCAAGGCCACCATTCTATGTAAGTTGTTCTTAAACACAAATTCTAGGACCTCCCATCATGAGATCAAATCAAATCATAGTTGGGTTCATTTTATTTTGGTCACAGTATTTGACTAAGAAAAGCTTCAATGCTATTTCCATCTGGAAGCAGGTCCTGAGGAAAATCATGTTCATTCAGACAAATATCATGTGCTGACTTATGAAGATAAAGAAGGAGATTGGATGCTGGTTGGAGATGTGCCTTGGGAGTAAGCTTACCAACTTTTGATTCTCCATGTTTTTCATAATTGTTTTCCTTACATTTTGTTTCTCATTTTGGGGTTGGTACACAGGATATTCTTGACAACTGTGAAAAGATTGAAGATCACCAGAGCAGACAGATGTTAGTTAATTTTTTTTGGTCATCTCAGACTCAGTTAGCAGATATACTCTGCCCTGATACAGTTTTGTCTTAGTGGTGGTTCATAACTATATACTCAAAAGAAATTCAGATTAATACATAGTTTGGGGCTGCATCCAATATTGTGTACATTATCAAATATAATAACAGTTGTATTTGTAGACTCTTTTTTCGCTTTTGTTTTCTTCGTTCCTTTTCTCTATGGAACCAATTATTCTATAAGTAAAAGTAAAGGGAAAACAACATGAAGCTTTTGAAAAATTGCTATGAGGGTAGGGAAGGTTTGCTAATATGGGACCATAGATAATGGTCTTCATTTTTTCTTGTGTGCTTTCGCATTATTAGGTGGGATGTGGTCTTCGTGTCGATAAATTCTTAGATGAAGTGGCCCGACCACATCATCCATACGATCATTATCACGAAACAAGAACCCTCTTTTTTATTTTTATTTTTTGAGAGAGTGATCGCACGTGTGACGTGATCAGACAAGCTACTCAAGACCTTGTCGTTCACTTCCCTTGTTTTGACAAGAAGATTTGTAGCCTTTAACTATACGTGATGATGATGATGATTATCAAACTGTGATAGATCCTCAATCAAAGACCCTTTGGGTACACGTGTTCCGGCTTGTGTTGTGTGAGCTTGTTAGACGTGCACGCCATCATGCTCATGATTCCTATGGTTTTGATTGCAGAAGAGAGATCAATTCAAAAGATAGATAAAAGTTGCAAAGCAAGCATCATAACTTTGATCCTAATATTAATGTTAACAGGTGCAAATATTGACCACCCAATTTCGTGAAACGTGGTCATGTGGTGCCTCGAAAGCAATAGGAAGCTTTTCTTCATAATCTCATCCCAGTGTATATTTTGTAGATATATATGTAGGTAGGTAGGCAGGTAGGTATATTTGCACACAAGTCAGACTGTGAAAGGAGAGAGCGAGAGAGGACGTATTTGTTTGTTTGTTTATTCTTCTTGTTATTCTTTGCAGGCCATTTCAATTAGTGCAGGCAGAAGAGTAATGTTATTAGGTGAACCAACCTCTAAGCTGCCACATGAGGAGAGAGAGAGAGAGAGAACCTAAACTGGTTCTTTTTTCTTTTCTTTTCTTTTCTTTTGGCAAATTGCAAATGGCGCACTGCTCTTTCTTATTGACTAAAATGGTATGACCACCAAGTTTAGGCAGTTTAGCTACCAAGTCATCCTCATCAATGATGATGCCATCTTGGCAATCTACAATGGGAAGGAGCTATTCCTCCTTGCTTCTTTTGTGCAAATCACAGTTAGATACATATATAATAATAACTTATTAAATGCACAAAATGAAAAAATAAATATGGACACTTGGCAATCGAAAATCTTATTCGAAAATTTTATATGAAATTTGAGATGTGAATTTTATAATAAATATGGACACGTGGCAACCGAAAATCTTATTCGAAAATTTAATCATAAAATTTAATATGAAATTTGAGATGAGAATTTTATAATAAATAGTGACACGTGGCAACTGAAAATCTTATCCAAAATTTTTATCAAAATTAATCGTTTAAGTATAAAAAATAGAAAATAAATTAAAGTGAATAGTAATTGCCCTTACCCTTGCCCATAAGAGCATTTCCAACAGTTAGCCCCTTGCCATGGCAAGGGGAGCCCTAGGGTAGCTACTATTCACTTGAATAGTGGCTGCCCTAGCCCCTCCAGCAAAGTATGTTTCCAACAGTTTAGGCTTGCCATGGCAAATACTATTCATTTTTTTGTTTTTTTCACAACTTTGTTTACTTAAACAATTAATTTGGATAATATGTTCGGATAAGATTTTTTGGTTCCTACGTGTTAATTCTATTCATATCGGATAAGATTTTTGTTTTCAAATTTCAGATAAATTCAAAATGTCATATTTCAGATTCATTTCGAAATTCAAATTTCAAATAAATTTCAAATTTCAAATTTCAGATAAGATTTTCACCCTCTAAGATTACACCATGTGTCATATCTGTCTGCCTAAATTTTTTTATAAAACCAGATGCTCAGATCATACCTCCCACACCAGATCTTCTCTACATTTCCATTTCTTAGATTTTAGATTTCATTCTCCATTTTCAATGGCAGACATGCAAGAGGTTCTGGAGAGGCAAGAGCGAGAAACTAGAGAAAGAATGTGTAGATGGGCTGCAAGCGAAAGGGCACAGAGAGAACTAGATGAGTAACTTGGCTTAGCCATTGCTTTGCTGAAGGAAGAAAACTAGAGCTGTCGTGGTTCACGAGAAGGCCGTGGCCTGAATATGGACAGACATAGACATTCTCGGGGTACATACTCCCTTTCATTGCGGACATACTCCCTTTCTTTTGCATATTCTAGTTGAATTGCCATATCGTGCTCTTGTTGTTTCATGTCCATTTCAATTCTCATAGCTTGGTGCTTTGAAAGTTCCTCCAAAAATTTAGATGCATTCTTGGTAGAATTACTCCATCTCTTCACCTTCGCCGCCTTCCTCCCAATAGGCCTTGGCTCCTTTTCGATGGGTGAGTCTTGAATCATCGGGAAATTCATAGGTGAATCCGATGTCGGTGTCTCATGAAGTGGCGTCTCGTTCAAGACTACCGTCGGACCCGTTGGAATAATTCGGAATCTCTTACAATTCTTCACCGCCTCCCAACATTGGGTATGGTTGAATACTTTTTTGCCTTGCCCAGTAGCACCATACCACATTTGTGCTTGCATAATCTATATAAAAAATTGAAAATGCAAGAAACTTTAAAAAAATATTGGCTTGGCAATGCAACAAATATAAGCAAAATAATGAAAATGCAAGAAATTTTAACAATTTATCGGAAATGTAAGAAATATTTAAAAAAAATATATAGATATTGCAAGAAATATTTAAATAAATATTGAAAATACAAGAAATATTAACAAAATATAGAAATAGCAAGAAACATTTAAATAAAAATTAATATGACATTAAAATTAATAAAACGAAAATTACAAATAATTTACCTCATTGCTAAGATTTTCCCCACTTCTATGGTTGTCCATCACTTTTGCTAAGACATCTCTCCATTTTTCCAACTCTTTATTGAGAATTTTTCACATACTAGATAATACCATTTCCATACGAGTTGAACCCCCCGATCTTTCACAAAATTCGGTATGAATTTTTCTCTACATATGTTGGGATTTCATCTCATTGCCCCTTACGGGACAATGACTAATTTCGAGCCAACACTCACACAACAAAACATCTTCTATTATGCTCCATGCCTCTCCGGTTTCACTAGAAGAACCCATAATATGATAGAGAAAAATACAACTTGAAAGTGAAAAAAAGATTGAGTAGAAAGTGAATAATAGTAGAAAGAGAAGAAAATGTATGAGGATTTTGTGTTAAAAGTGAAGAGTATTGGTTGGTATTTATAGAAAAAAAATTTAGTAATTTTTTTGTATTTAAAAAAAAATAATTCTGATTCTTTAAAATGTTTTTATTGCACAAAAATTGGCTGTCGTTGGATTGGAGCAAAAATTCTGATCGAAGAGCCCAGGACGCGACAAGTGGCACATAACCGTTAGCGGGCACTGTAGCGGAGCGTTCAAATTTTTTAACGTTAGCGCGTGCATTGACTGCCAGGGCTGACGTTGTCGTGACGTCAGCACGCTGACGTCAGCATCTGCCCTAGGGCTGGAGCTCGGGCCAGCCCTTGTTGCTGAGTCCCACCTTGGGCCCGAGCCTCCCTTCTGCTGCTGGAATGTTTTTAGCCCAAACCCCCCAGTCCTCCCTCAAGCCCCACTGCTGGAAATGCTCTAAAGGTGGAAACAAAATTGCAAGGGCTGCCACTATTCACATGAATAGTAACAACCCTTACCTTGCCCTTACCCATAGGGGGGGAAGTGCTCTTAGGTCCATTAGTTTGTTAACCAGCTCGATATGCTTATTTATCCACAACTAACTGGCGGGTAGGATCGGCGTGAATAGTAACAGTCCTTGCCCATAGAGATAGAATAGAAGTGCTCTTAGATCTATTAGTTTGTTAATCAACTCGTTATGCTTAGATCCACAACTAACTGGTGGGTATGAACGGCCCAATCCAATCTGTTAGCGGGTCCTGGAAGGTCGGGTTTAAATTTACCCGCAGCTCGTCAAGCCCGTTGAAAAATGCAAGGAAGAAAGCAATAGGAGGGTTTTTTCAAAGAGGAAGAATCTCCGAGACTCGGACCGAAGAAAAGAAGAAGAATCGGGTCGGGCATGTCAGCCGCTCCGAATTAACTGAAGAAATCTAAAATTGGTTGAAGAAGGGAGGAGCCATGAAAGGTCAGGCGTCGAGTTCCTACAAAGGCGCTGTCAAGTTCAGGATGTGAGTTTCTTGCATCTTATTCTTCTTCTGTTCTTTTCCGTTTTCTCTCAAGTGTTTTGGTTTTCTTCTACGAATTATTGCCAAATTTACCTTATGTATACAAATTACAATGGACAGGCCAACAGCCCAGAATTTAGTACCGATTCGCTTGGACCTCGATGTCGATGGCCAAAAGTTCAAAGACACTTTCACTTGGAACCCATCTGGTAGAAGTTGGATTTTCTTCATTTTTTAAAATTATATTTTTTTAAATTTGACTCTTGCCCAGTTTGCAGAAGTTAATTATGGGATTTGTTGTGTGGTGATTGATGGCAGACCCTGACTCCGAGATTGTGGTGTTTGCGAGAAGGACAGCAAAAGACTTGAAGCTTCCTCCGGGTTTCATTACAGTCATGGCTTCTGCCATTCAGGTTGGCACTTCAACTACGTCAAATTTTCCCACCAAAGTTTCTACTGAAAACTAAACACTGATAGCTTATGACCATGTTCTCTGATCAGTCACAGATTGCAGACTTTCGGTCGTTGGAAGGCCAAGATATGTACCCGGGCGAGAGGATTGTGCCAATTAAGGTTACCCCTTATCTTATTATAACTTGATTATCTGTACTGGCAAGTGGCAAACTTTCAATGCTTTTGGCTTATCAACAAAACTGTGATGTGTTATTCTCAGCTTGATCTTCGAGTGAACCATACTCTTATTAGGGACCAGTTTTTATGGGTGAGCTTCAACAGTCGTTTGTTTCATCTTATCTTTTCAATACCTCCTTCTCTTACACTTGGGGTTCATCCGTTTCGAGGGATTTCAGGACTTGAACAACTTTGAAAGTGATCCTGAAGAGTTTGCTAAAACATTCTGCGCAGATTTAGGTATTCAAGATCCTGAAGTGGGGGTAAGTCATCATATCAGTTTTTTAAACAAATGCAAAGGCTTTTGGTTTGTGTCAAAGTTGGAATATTGATGTCTTTTCAGTTTGCTAAAAGAAGCTATTCTCATTTTCCAGCCTGCAATTGCCTTTTCAATTAGGGAACAACTGTATGAGGTTAGATTTTGTTGCTTCTTTGAACTATTATGCGTTTATTATGCTACCTTTATATGAGTTACATTATGCAAGTCATGTGAATGAACTTTTTTATATGGATTCACTTACTGTGGTCTTTTTTGTGTTTCATCTTCTAGATTGCAGTTCAAAGTGTAGCATCAGCAAGAGAAAACAGAATAAGCAAAAAGGGACGCCGAGGGGCTGAGTATACTCCAGTCAGGTTTGTGTGTTTGACTTTTTAAAAATAAAATGAAGAATGAATAAAATTTATTTTTTGACCCCACCTTGCTGTTGAACACAATTTATTTTAGGATAGGAAGAGGGTATATGCATTGTAAAGCCTACATGATAGTATATATGTCATTAACTCTCTCTCCGAATCTCTCTCTCTCAGTAAAGCAGGTAGTACTGGATTGGACCTGGTGAAGTTATTCGGTCACAAATCTAGTGTTGTTCGGTATGTCTTCTAACTATGCTAGGTTTTGGGAATTTCTTAAATTGGAAAGCTTCATTGTTTATGCTAAAAATTCTACCATTGCTGTTCTTTGGAGTTTATGTTTGTCTTGTGGCCACTGATATTTAGGCCCCTCTTCACTCCATAGGTTTGGTTTTCTAGTTTTTCCAGTAGTGTTCAGGGACGCAATTCCCTAGGGATCTTCATTAAGGTACAGACAACTTTTAATGGCCTTCCGACAACCAAGATCATATATTTTCAGTAAATCTTCCTGGGATAGCTATACTATGAAATTACCATTTATTCAAAACACTTTTTCTTTCATGAATATTTAAAATCAATTTCCCGTGGCACATGAGATGCTACAACCTTGACCTAAGACAGAAGATATGTTGGCATACTTAATATAATTCTATGGGTTAAAATCATCTTCCATCCATTACAGATCCCAACAGCTTATCTTCTTTTAGCACAATCAAGAATAGTCTTCTGTGTTTGGTTTGCCAGAAGAACTTAAAGGTGAATGAATCTTCACGCCTTACATTTGAAATTCACTGTTAGTGTTCCAATATCAACAACTTTACTCATAATCACCAACTCACTCTTGTTTCTATCTAATTCAAGGAGAAAAATGCTTTGACAACAGGGCAATGGGCCTATGTTCTGTATCTACTTATTTCGAAAATTAAATTTTGGTTCATCTGCATATAGCTACTTACTAAATCGTCTATCAACCACTCTGTAAATTTAACATATTAAAGTCTCCATAAACAGTGGAAAAATGAAACTTTCATTCACATATTTTACCCCCCTTCAAAGCTCTTGAAGAAACTAAAGTCAATACTTTGCTTGAATGGGTTTAAACCTGTTAGAATACATATAGATATTAAAATCCTACATGCCTCTCCAAACTCATCCTCGTAAGTGAAGAAAAAAAGTTCAAGGTTGAGCTCAATGTTACAAGTACTTCCCAATGATAGTGCCCCCTATAATATGTGTTCAATATCAAGGTTTTTGATTCCCCTCCATCTCTTCAACATCATTTATTTCATTTCAACCGTCTGATGATGATTAAATTCAGTACTGTGTGTTTAACTTTTTTCTTTTAGTTGATAGAGTTAGAAAAAAGTTAAAACTGAGATACTGATAGTGGTTTGCCACTTTGCTCCTAAATGTATCAGGAAAAGGAAGGAGTGGGATGTATACGAACCCATTGTTGATCTTCTATCTAGCGAGGAAGTGGATGCCCTTCAAGCAAAAGAAGAAAGGCTTACTCGGTGAATGAACACGACTGTGAGGGGTTTTACTTGTAGTTTGTATAGGGCACCTGTAGGTGACTAACTAGAAGTCCAAATTCTACGACTAATGAAATAGGGTACTTTAGTTGACTCGTGAGGTGACTGAATTCTCTGCATAATGAAAATTCGCCAGTCATTTTGACACTAATTCTGGTTCTCTAAGTTCATTTCTCAAAGCCTGCAAGGTGCCCCCCTACATATGAGGAAAATCTTCCCTATAACCATTGGATACACTGGATCTCTCAAATCCATTTGTCCCGTGATCGGCACGTGAAGAGTTGGATGTAAGAGGCCTATTGTGTACAATGGTTGCAGGAATTCCCATAACTTGCATTGTGATTTTAAATGCATAAAAATGCAGTTTTGCTTGTGCCCTTGTCTTCTAAAGTCAATTCTTGGTGCAATTACTTTTCCTATCATTCATTACCAGCTTTGAGATATCATCTTCATTTGTCCACTTGCCACAACAGGACAATTTGATCTTTAAAAGGAAGGAGATGAAGAAGAAGAAGACAGATTCATTCATATCCATCAAGTCTTGGTGATGGTGGTTTTAAAAAGAAGAAGACGAAGGTTGGTGGGTATTATTTATTTACCAGTGTGAAAGTAGTGACGATCCAAACCCCCAATAATGCATGGACTTTGGAGCCTACCCATAGCTAAATTTCCTTGCTTTTGACTCCTGAATTGGAACCTATAGGGCCGTACACACAAATCAACCAATGCAAATTTATAGTCAATTTGTGTGACCCTTTGTAGGGGCACCGACTTCGAGTCTGATTGGTCCAGTAAGTGATCAAATATGGGGAACTGCCTGACTGGACAATTTTGAGGACGGCCTTCTTGTACTGGGACGTACCTTTGTTTAATAGATCCAACTGGTACATTTTCTTTGCTCCACCAGTTTCCTCCAAAATTTCTGCTTCACTGTTCCTAGCTCCATTATTTATTTTGGACAGATTATAAGATTAATAACAAATGCAAGGTTCACGTTATTGTTTTTTGTGTAGTTGCATGACAAATGGGTTATAAAAAGAAAAAAAAGTTTTTGACTCATCTTTTTTCTATCTCCATCAACTCTACTTATCCAAAACTTCAATGTCTTCAAATTATCCAAAACTCGAGCTTCAAAATTGTACCTGCATCGAAACCAATGTTAGAACATGGTAGACTTGTAATTTGGGGTAGGGGTGGTGGGGGTTGGATTTGAGGTTGAGGATTTGAATCACAAAAGTAGTGTGCATTTGATTGTCAGATTTTCTTTTTGTTTTTGGTGAAAATTGTCAGATATTTTTGTCATACAAGGAAAAAGATAGGAGAAAGACTTCCATGAAACGGGAAGAGCCTAACTAATAACGCTATGACATGCGTGATATCAAAACAGTGTTATACCCATTACAACTGGAATATGTTTTTCTCAAAAGGTAGATTGCAAATGAAGATGAAAACCGAGCGTTAAATACTATTTTTGTTTTGTGTGGTAATAATAATAAACAACTTGCCATTATCTCATGTTTGGCATTGTGAGTAGATGGGAAATTTTTGGTTTGGCTTATTAAATTTGTTTTCGAGCAGTCACAAGAAGCACATCATATTTATTACAAAAGCAATGTGTTGGATTTTTATTAAACAGCTGAAAAAAGTAGTTGGGAGCTTTTTGATTTGTTCATAGAATCCCATTCACTTTGTTTGATTTGTTCTGTCAATTGCCCAGAAAAAAACTTCTGACTGTTACTCTATTCGAATTAGTTATCCAACAAATAATCTGGACTATATTTCCTATAAAATAAAATAAAAAAGGACTACACAGTAAAACAAGTCAGTTCACCATGCAAAATTGTGACGCTGCAAGTCTTACTTGAGGACCAGGAAGAAGAGATAAGATGGTAAACTACAAAGAAACAAGAAGAAGAAGAAGCTGATTAAATTTGTTTTCTTCTAAATTTCCATTAATAAATCTCACTGTGATCTTTAATCACAGGGATTGCCTAGTTCATTCATTTAACAATTAGAAACTAAAAAAACTTTCTTGTAATGGGGGCAATTTTACAATTAAGCCTCACAAATCCCCCCCATCTTTTTTTTTTCTTGGTAGTTTTGAACAGCAGAACAAGTTGATCATCTAACACCTCCATCTACAAGTAATTAATGAGAACCAAAATGATGCAAGCTAGCATGACCCAAATGGTATACACAGATATGCTAATTGCTGAATTGGGTCTTTCTTTGTTTTCTTCCTTTTTTTTTTCGGGTTTTTTTGTTTTGTTTTTTGGGGATGGATATTGGCCTATTTTTTAGCCATCCATCTGTGTTAAGAAGCAGTGATGTTGCAGGCTGAGGGCTTGGACTTGTCCAGAATAGACCACATCACCTGAACATCTTCATATGAGCATGCCATCACTTCACCATGCAGAGCCATCACACTACTTTCATTCCCTGTTCATAACATCATGGAAGAACACATCACTCACTATGTTCCATATTATACTCATATACAATTGGCATCAATACATCATTATCCGATAGACTTGCTTGTCGGACTGTAAATTTGGACCACGTATTCTAATAAGAATTAGCCATATCACTGGTCCAGATTCATAATCTGACAACATAAACATCTTATTACATTGCCAATGTAAGTCTGACAAGAAACATTTCTCATATACAGAAAAGTGGTAATATAAATATGTATGTACCTTGCAGCTGGGATTTCTTCTGATCTCTGCCTGGCTGCTGGTTGAAGAAAGTGCAAGCTTTCCTGAATGGAGATGTGATGGTTTTTTTCCAAGAAGCCATGTGTGCTTTTCAAAATTGGTGTTCCAATCAATGTAGAAGCTGATAATGTTGCAGAGCAGTAGCAGAGTTTAGAATATTTTGGACCCAGATGACTTGAATCTCTCAACGCCTTTTATGCAGAGATAGAGAGCTGGTGTGAACAATTTATATAGTTATATTATATATATAGGAGGTGGAGAGAAAGAGAGGGGCAAGATCCGTGAGATGGGCTTTTTGAGATTAGAGGAACATCACTCTTTTTCTTTTTTCTTTATAAAATTTTTATTTTTCTTATCTCATCTCACCAAGGTCGCCGACTGCACCAAAGCACATGGCGCACGCTCCCAAACAGACCCTTCCCTTCCCTACCCTTTAGACCCTTAACACGTGAACCCCTTTACTTTTCAGAATGTGACGTATATTATGGGATTTGCCCATCTTACTGTTTCTCTCTTCTTTCTTTGTCACATAATAAGCTAACCAAATTGCCTTTTCACCGAGGCTTTTAGACCACATCACCTAATTGACTTTGCTCACCTTTACTGTTACATTGCATTGCATTACAGTCTTTTTGTTTGATGATGATGATTGCATTTCATGCTTATATGTCCCCCTTAGAAGTAATGCAATTTGCCAATTACTTTGCTTCTTTTTTGGCTTGTCGATTGAGAAAAACTTGGGTGAGGACATCCTCGCCGCATGATAAGATGAGTGACAATTAATGTCATGTTAAAACGTAGCATGTATATTGCAAGTTTTTATTCAAGATTTCAAATTTGTAATACATATTATAGTTTAATTGGACTCCAAGTTACCACGCGAGTTTTATCATCACTTAAATGACTTTAGTCACTTAAAACGAAATTTCCCGCAAAATATAACATGTGTTACAAATTTGTATATATGATTGAGATTCTATTATATATGTTATGTTTTGACTGTACATTTTTTGTCACTCATCTTAGTCTAGGGCAGAGAAATTCACACCCAAGTGTTTCTGCTAACATTTGTGAGTGACTGAGTGAGCCCCCAGAACCCCCCAACCAAATGCTGCAAATTCTTGGCTTAGTAATGTGAGATATTTTAAACATGATTATGGAACAGGCCTAATTATCCATTATTATTAGGCAGAAAGACTGACCAAGACAGCCAAATCTATTTGCAGTCTCTGTATATTATGCTCTCATGACATATACCCAACCCAACCATGTTGTGTGCTTATAACTAATTAAACCCATTAATCTATGCTTAAATTCAGGTACTTAGATTAATGGATCCATCCGGCATCAAACCGTACTTTGATTAATATCTAATAAAACCGGATTAGTGGTGCGTTGATTTTAATCATGGGTTGACAAAAGCATTCACACATTCCATAGGCAACATGATTTAATGTCACGATATTACTCTACCATTATCAAATTGATAAATTGTGGTCTCAAGGCAGCAATATTTGCCCTATTAGCGGGCACATGATCATCTTTGCATAATGTGTTTTTCTAGCAACCCAAGAGGGTCATGTTGCTAAAACTTTAAGAAAAAGAAAAAGGGTTTTAAATTAAGTCAAGGTTTACCAATTCCTTGGACTCTCAACAACCCAATAGATTAATATTTGTTTTAGAAACTTAAAATGCTCTGTTATGTCTCTGAGCTGAGCACTTGTTCTCATGTAAAATTTTCATGCAGTGTGAAAGTGCATCCCCCCTTGGATTTTTTGCATATCTCACATGCTCACAATGGCAGTTTACCCTCTGATAAAAGATTTTTTTAATCATGGTTTATGAGTGGATCTTTTGATTAAACAATAACCGAGAAGGATGATTGGTGGGCAGTTTTCACATGTAGACAGAGCAGGCTGCATGTTTGTGCACTAAATTGATGGTCGGTTTTCGTTTTTGGATTTTTTCTGAAAACTTTTCAATGGATGGTGTTGGTTTTTGCCGATCTATGTGCCTGTCTTTTCCACTTCTTGGGGCCCTTTTTCTTCTTCTTTAAATATGCTTGTCCTTTTTTTCTCTTGGATTTTTCGTTGAAAAGACTCATAGGAAGCACAAGACGACCCACGTAATAGTTGACACAAAGATTATGATGATAATGAGTGGTGGTGATGGTGGTGGTGGTGGTGGGGAAGAAGTTGCATTGCAAAAGGCTTGTGAGCTCTCAGAGTATCTTTAAGAGAGATGTTAAATATTAAATATCAAATTTAAATTTGATGGTTGATGTGGCAATTTGACATCTTATACAGCTTTACACTCAACCCGATATGTCAAATTAAATTATTACTTTATTACATTTTAGTGTTGATTTATTTTTAATTAATAAGAAAAGAAAAGAAAAAATAATAAAATATTTATTTGACATCTTACTTTTGGGATGTCAAAAATAACATCTCAACCTCCAGCCTTCATTCCACATCAGCTTTGACATATTGATTGGAGTGATATGAGATATTATTTTTAACTGTTAAATGTCTATGTGGCATGTTTAACACATCGATTAGAAATGCTCTAAATTTGCAACTAAAATTGAAATTGGATTTTGCACAAGTGCAAGAAGAAAATAAGAAAGAAAAGGAGATTTTGATTATACGAACAGGCCAACCAACTAACCTGACCGAAGTTCGTGCAAGATAGTACAATTCGGGTTTGGTTTGGTTCGTTGCCTCAACTTTTAGGCCATCACCGCTCTGAGGCTCTCAGCTGCTCCACACAATCATGTGTGTGTGTCTCTCAAAGCAATGGAAAAGTGGCCCCCACATACTTTCATATTTGTAATTAGCTTCAATCATTGCCCATCCCTCTCACTTCCCACTTGGTTGGGTTGAGTTGGATTTTCATAATAATGTAAGGAGTTTGTAATTCAGATGGTTAAGAAACAGTTACTTTTACGATTGAGATCTTGTGTTTGAATTTTTTCTTTCAATATTATTTGTGAAAAAATAAAAAAATAATGCTCATGCTTGACTAATTAATTAATTGGAGCACAAGAGCGATGAGATTAAGCAATTTTTTTGGGTCATCATGTATTAAGAGTGTGATTAAATTAGTCTTATCAGATGTTGCTTATGGATATAAAACATATAGTTTATGATTCCTTGTGATAACTAGATAGAGAACAAATTTAAAACAAGAACATGTGCAAAACCTAACAACTAGAAGGATTTTATTTAATCTTCCAAAGACTCAGAGTAACTGAGCATTGATTAAATTGGATAACTATTTGTGATTAATAGCTTATTTTATGTTCTAAGTTATAACCATAAAAATTCAAAATCTAAACAAGAAAGTCTTCAACCAACAATTGAGAGAGATGTTTTTAGAGAATGTGGTATAGATGTCAGCCTCCAATGTTGTTTCTTCACCTCTATTACCTCTATTTGGCAATACTGATATGTGCATCTTGTATTTTTCTACTCTATCTTATTAAAAAAAAAATTGAGAGAGATTAAAGGGAAAACTTTAGAATTTTATGGGGGCATTGGCCCTTGACCCCAACAATCAGCCTTCAATGTACGTGATTGTTGTCATATATTGAGCTTGATTGTGCAAGATGGTCTTAAAGTTTTATCTTCCTCTATTGATAAAATTATTGATGTTGTACATAGTATGAATTGATCTAACAAGAGACATGAAATTTGGGTGAAATGTTGTAGTGATTTCAACATGGGAAAGAAAAATATAGACAATGATGTGCCTCATAGGCTGCCTATGAGCTTTTGCTAATTGCTATAGAATATAAAGCTCCTTCGTATAGGTATATTCAAAAGGTAAATGAATCACGTTCTAGTAATTTACAAGTACCTAATGAAGAAAATTGGATGTAGCTCAACTTGTTAGTGGGTTTTTAAAAATTTTTATTCTTCAACAAAGATATGTTTTGGTGTGTATTATCCTACTTCAAGTCGTGTAATTAATTATTTGACATATATTCACGCATCATTTACTGCCAGTGGCCCCCCCAAATTTTGATATCTCATCTATTATATTATATATAACATATAGAATTTTTAATAAACAACTTATATTCTAAGTTAAAATTCCCTCTAAAACAAATTAGATATGATTAAATTATAAATATTTAGCTCTAAACATGTAACTAGTAAATACTTAGGTACTTTATATGCTTGTATTTTCTACTTCAGTCCCCCCAACTTTGCGATTCTAACTCTGCCCCTGTTTGTTGCATATTCTGAATTTACTGTTTTTAAGGGTACTTTGATTGAAATGAAAGTGAAATTTGATAAGTAATGGGCTGAGTTTCCTATTGTTTTTTGCTTTGCTACTATTATGGACCTTGGGTTTAAATTATTTGCAATTGGTTAATGGTTAAAGATGATGGCATTGATCAATTCAAAACTTTATGATTTCAATTATTTGACATCTATAAGAAGAGTGTAATGTTTGATGTGGGTCAAAATGTGCAAACTTCAATTGTAACTTCAGGTACCTTGAGCCAAGCTCTTGGTTCTATAGCTGTCCTTATTATGAGAAATTTCTCTATCCAAGGCTTGAAAAGGGTGAAGCTATCTTCTTCTTTTTCTTCTTCCACTGCTACTTCTGAGTTACAATTTTATTGATATACCAACAATAGAGGTTGATGATGATAATCAGTTTAGTGTTTTATGTTGGTGGAAAAGCAATCAATCATTATATCCTATTGTTTCCCTTATGGCTCATGATTTGCTAACTATTCCAACTTCTATTATAGTATCGAAATCATGTTTTAGTGCAGGTGGTAGAGTTGTATCAGAGAAGAGGGCCAATTTGAGTCCAAATACAATAGAATCATTAATTTGCTTGAAAGACTGGGCCTTAGCAAATTTAAAGATGCAAGATGCAACACGAGATGAGCAATGCTCTGAAGAATTAATGAACAATAGAGCATCAAGACCAGATTGGATGGCAACTAGTGAAGATGTTAAAAGTGAATGTGATGAAAATTTGACAAGTCAAAGTTGAAATGTTATGTAATTGAAAGCCCAACCCAGGGGGGCTGCCCTGGACTTTTATTTTTTGGTGAAAGGCTAGCCGATCCAAGCCCAACAATTTTGAGTCGGGTTGACCCGACCCAGCCCATTAACGAGCCCTGTAGCAAGCAAGACTTTTCAAATTGCCACGTAGGTCAACAAACTTCAATTTAAAGAGTTTTGGCTAGCTACTACCATTGGAGATGCTCTAATATGGCTTAAAAGGAAGTGTTGTGGGTTTAATTTAGAACATAAACCTTGGGGCTCTT